CCAGTGGAGTTTGAGCGAGATCGCTTTATTAATATCATTAAGAAATAAAAAATTCGTATTATTAAACTCCCCACGACGTTATCACTTCTATCGCTTGGTCGTCTAAACCGCATACCTTAGTTATTTTGTTTGTTTTTTTCAACTAAGGTATTCAAGGCCCTTGAGACTTACTTACCAGAAGGCTAATGAACTGGGATAGTGTGTTATGAGTTGCCGAGTTAGAACAAACCCCTAAGAACAAGTGTTGGGGAAGCAGTTCCCCGGAATTCGGGGGTCGTGTAAAAGAAATCAATATTAGGCTCAGCTGTGGGAGGTTCCGGGGCTATTTGTCCAATCCTTAATGACCCAAGGCCCTGGAACGAGCTTTCTTCACCAACCCCTAATGTCCCAGTCTGTCATCTCCTCCTTCCAGTTGTTAGTTCCTTTTGTGGTACACTCAACCCCTCCGCTACATTTCCCACACTGAGAAATGTGTTAAACTTCAATTAGCACAGTGGTTGTTGTGTTCAATTATGTAGACTGTCAAGAGTACTTATAAAAAAATATAAAAGAATAAGGTCATTTCATAAGAAATGTCCGTTTTTATTATTTCAGAAATTTAAAGTATTATTAGTGGACTTATATATTGTTATTTACTGTTTACATTTGTGTTGAGCTTTGGGACTCCACCAAACCTTCGAATTCCCATCGTATCCAATCATTACAATCCAAAATCCTTAATGCTCCATACTTTGTCACAAATAAAACCATTCATAAAGACCTTAATGTCGCTGATTTAGCCCGAGCCAGATATCTATGCTTTCATTATAGACTCCAGTCCCATCCAAATCCGCTTGTTTCTACACTTACTTCTTCCTCGATCCCTGATTATCCTGTTAGGCGTCTAAAAAGGAGATGGCCTCGTGATCTTATTTAAAATTATTTAGGGAGTGCTACCACTGGGTAGTATCTCTTTAAGCCTGTACATGTCATTATTTATAATTTGTGCATATTTACTAGTTATAAACAAATAAATAAATAAAACATAGGTGTAAACATTACATTTGGGTTTATGTTTACAAATTATTCCAACACTGTCATCACCACCTATGCCGATGACACATGTATGCTATCAGTTAATAAAAATCCATCTATTGCATCCCAAACCCTTTAATCACACGTCACAAGTCTTGAAAGATGCTGACAAAACTGGAGGATTAAAATAGATTCCAATTAATCCTATCAAATTACCTTTAGTCTTCGTCGTAAACCTGTGAACTCTTGTCCTGCAGTATCCTTTGACAATACCCTACTTATACCTGTTGAACAAATCCGTTACCTACACTAGCGGATCCAGGATTTGATTTTCGGGGGGGGGGCTTCAGCCCGGAAGCTTTTTTTTCATATATATAACGATAATTACTTCAGAAAAACAGAAAGATACTAACTACATATATGAAATAGTGTTTAAGTGATTCTTTAAGACCTATTAAATGTAATTAAACGAACAATAATATTTTAAGACATAATTTTTAACATTTTTTACCATGAAACATGATTACATTTTACCATTTTGGGGGAGGGGGCTTCAGCCCGAAAGCCCTCCTCCCCGTAAATCCGCCTGTGGTTACCTAGGACTCCACCTGGACAAACGACTCACTTGGAACCCCCCTACCAGACTGAAACGACTAGAAACCGCCCGACGTTATCGACTAGAAAAACGTTCTAAACTTCCAACTATTCAAAAAAGACTCATATATATTACTATAATAAGACCTATTTGGACTTACGGGATCGAGTTTCGGAGCTCTATCAAATTCCTCTCTTATCCAATCCCTACAATCCAAAATCCTTCGTAAAATCCTCAATGCTTTGTCACAATTAAAATCATCCATAACGACTTTAATGTACCATATGTTTCCGATTTAGCTCAATCCAGATACTTATCCTTCTATAATAAACTTCTGAACCATCCGAGCCGTCTTGTTTCCAACCCTGCTTCCTCTTCTATTCCTGATAACCCTCCGAAGCGTCTGAAAAGAAGATGGCCTCGGGACCTTCTAATATAGAAATATAATTGGAGTGCTAAAAATGGGTAGTTTTTCTTCATGCGACTTGTCACATATTTACTTGTTGTATTTATCATTTAATACAGTTGTAAATTTCAATAACAAAAAAAAAAAATGTGATTGCACATTGCTGTGTATGCCATCAAATATGACAATGAAAAGACTTTTTGAAGTATTTTAATTTTTTTTTTTTTACAGGTTTAAACATAGACACTTCGACGCCCAAGCTGAAGAAACAATACCAAGTCGTTCGGGGGACAGTCCAGTCATTTAGTAGTTTGAACAGGAAAAAAATGCTGAAGAATTTTTCTGGAGGACTCTATATGTTTTCAGGGATTCCAAATCTGATAAAAAATACTGAAAAAAAAGTTCTAGAATTTCGCTGTTTTTTGCTTACATCTTGGAACGGAATGTTAAATTTCGTTTGGGAACATAAAATTCTGATTGCGCATCCCAAAAAATAATATAAACCGAAGATAAACCGACTATTTAAACTTTTTTCCCATCCAAATACCATTCGACTGAACTAATTTGATAATTTGACGTCGTCAATCTTTAGTGGGCTCTAGCGGCCAAACGATAAAAGATAGCGAGCAGGTTCTAGTTTTATTTTTCAGGAGATTTTATCAGCTTTCTTTTTGATACAGATGATTTTTCTAGGATGCATCATTTTCTGTTAGTTGGCCATTTTTATGGCGAAGCCAAAATATCCGAATTTATTAGATTTTCACTAGATTTTCAGATCCAACACCGCAAAAACATATAGAGCTGTCGAAAAAAAATTTTCAGCCTCCCTGGTTCCATTACTCCCCGTCACCAAATGACTGGACTGGATCTTTTTGTAACGAACGGGCCATTTGCTGGTTGTTTATAATCAAATTTCCATTAAAAAAAAAATGATAGTCTACTGTGATTTGGTCAATGGAAGGAATAATTTATTTCTTCTTTTTACCCAGAGGTGAAACCATCACATCCACATGATACTGCAGTGATATTGACATAATGCATTAAACGTAAAAAACCTCTGTCAAGCAAGGTCAGTACCTGTGTCAAGTAAGATCAGTATAGCTTCCTCACAGTTTTCATTTGCTAAAAAATATCTATACTAAAAGGTCTAAAAATTTTCTTACGAGAATAAAATCTCTGGAAGAAGCCGTTTTGGAAATTCAATAATCCCTCAACATATACGGCCTTGATATCAACGAGGTTTGTTTATCAGCAAATACTAAAATGCGAAAAAGTTTCGCATTTGCAGATTGCATATTTGATAATTCGTTAAAAAAAAATCCAGTATTGTGGTTTTAAAATTTAAAATAACGCTTATATGTAGTGATATAGACAGTCCAAATAGATATATAATATTATGAGTTTTAAGAGGTCTATGTCATTCTCGAGGTTAATTTATAGTCAAATTTCATACTAGACTGAAACGAACCCGCTCGACGTTTCCGATTACTTCAGCACTTGCTAGACAAACGCTCTAAACTGCCAACTATTTACAAAAGACTCATATATATTACTATAATAAGGCCTATTTGGACTTACGGGATCGAGCTTTGGGGCTCTACTAAACCATTGAATTCCTCTCGCATCCAATCCTTACAATCCAAAATCCTTCGTAAAATCCTCAATGCTCCTTACTTTGTCACTAATAAAATTATCCATAAAGATCTTAAGGTTCCTTATGTTTCAGATCTGGCCCAATCCAGATACCTATCCTTCCATAATAAACTTCAGAATCATCCCAACCCTCTCGTTTCTAACCTTGCTTCCTCTTCAATTCCTGATAACCCTGCGAGGCGTCTGAAAAGAAGATGGCCCCGTGATCTCCTAATGTAGTCATATCATTAGAGTGCTACCATTGGGTAGTTGCTCAGCATGTGTATTCGTGTCATTACATCTTAATTTACTAGATGTATTTATGTAATACAGTTGGAAATGTCATTAAGAAATTAAAAAAAAAAATAGTCAAATTTAATAATTCTCAGGTTTAAACAAAGAAACCTAATTTTTTTGTCTTGGTTTTTAAAAAAATTGACTTCATATTCGTGTTCCTTGGCCTTGAAAACATAAGTGTGCTAAATATCAAGTTAAGCCGACATCATTTACGAGTTCTAGGGACATGTCCACGAAAACCCGTCATTCGTCCTACTGTGGGCCCTCAAGTATTTGTTTAATACCATTCACTTTTTAATTAAGAGAGAGAAATACTTTATTTAAAGCAGTGCTGCCCAACTATATAGGGTTGCTCGATACACAGCATACTCATCAATCCTTTTTTTTTTTTTTTTTTTTTTGACATAACACTTAATATTACAAAGCATAAACAACATCAATACTATAATATAATACACACAACTACAATTATACAATATATACACACTTCGGTAAAACCGATATAAGACAATTTCTGAAATATAAAGGGCAAAAAAAAATAAAAAAAGATGGTATTCGAATGTCAAAGTTTTGAAACCAGAAAATTAAAACGCACACACGTAACATAGTCCTATGAACATGGACAAAAATATATGGTTATTTAAATCATTTAAAATTGAATAAATAACGATAACCAACCCCTAATTACCATATATGTGATGATGAATGATCCGAAGGGAGTCCAGAATAATAACCTCGGTCAACACTGCAAGCTCCCCGACATCTACACCTAGTTCCTCGAAGAAGCTCCCTGTTCTTTTAATAATTTAATGATAATAATCTAAGAGCTGGTTGTACTTATTGAAGATCATTTTTTTTTCAACCTTCAAGAAGGGGGGGGGGGTATTTATATATATATATAAATAAAAGTATTGTTCTCTGGGAACATCTGGAATATGTTTGCTCCTTAGATACTTCCTATCTTATTTTCAATACTCTATTTGTATTAAAATTTATTCCCCTGCCTAATTATTTTTTTCTTAGCAATATTTAAATTGTATATTTTTTTATTTTCAGAAAAAGGAAACTCATGAGAAACCAGTTAAATTTTCTGAAATTTACTCATCTTTGCCAGATAAGCTTCCCAAGGAAGAAGCTGCCGAGCTAAGCTTTCCATTGGCTTTTATGGCTCTTCTGCATATGGCTAACGAAAAGAACCTGGCCCTAAAGGGTACTAATGATTATGATGATATTTATGTTTCACTTGACTAGAAGTGTTTGTGATATATTATCTTAATTTTATTTTGTTATCATTTGGTTTTGTACATAAATTAACATAGTTTTAACTTCATGTATACATATGTAATTATTTTTTTATTAACATAGTTTATGTATAATAACATATCATGTGTCATATTTAAACACCATTATATGTTGGTGTTTAAAAAAGTTAAAAATTGTTGATCATGTTGTTTATTTAATTTTTCATTATTTTTTTTACTATATTTATTTATAATTTTTATACAGACTATAGAAAATATTTTTAATTAATTATTATACGTTACTTTGCAATATGTCTAATATAAATCATCAATGAAAATTTACCTGTTTTATTTCATAGTATCCCATTTTTTGTTTAAATATTGGATAAGTCGAACTCAAAGATATATATAATATTATTTTTAACCATTAAAAAAAAAACTTTATAAAACCAAAACAACCTTTTTATTTAGTTGTTTTGTCAAATTGATTAAATGCTTTAACTTTGATAAGATCTTTAAAATAATTTTGAGTTCAATCAGTCAGGGAAGTAGTTTGCGAATCCAATTTTCAGTGTAACATTAATCTTTGAAATTTTATTTTGACAGTCTGCCAAAGGATACCTTAGCATACATTGGAGTACTAGTCTTGTACCCAGTAAGTAGTAAATTGATGAATATTACATTTTTGATATGAAGAACACTACAGCCATAGTTCTGTGCACCTCTCCTTTGGATGTTTATGGTTGAAGAGGTGCTGTTTAACACTAATCATACCAAGACTTAATATATACCTATTTCTACCAAAGCAGGTCAAATGACCCGACTTTATGTTTGATGCTTGAATGTATGAAATATGGATGTTAGGAAATAAATAAAAATATAAATTAAATTTATTATGATTAAACAAAATAGTATGTTGAGCATTTCTATTACAAAAGCAAAAAATAAAAACTTTTAATTCATAGTTCATCGCAGTGGTGCTCATCCAGGTGTGCCTGTCTTGTTTGCTTCGACATTTTTTTGGGTAAAAAATTATCTGTATTACTATAGCTATCAAAATAAAATATAAGCTAGGTACTTACCAAGACTTTCAATTTTTGCCACTTTTTCTTACACTAAAAGGCTATTTTCAATCTAAAATTTGATATTTTCTTGAAATTATTCTGAGCTATTTTCGTTGAACTACTTTACGCAACAGTCTTTGGAAGAATGTGCAACTTACTGACTACAAATATGACTAGATAATCTCATAAAACAAAAAAATTCTCTCCGGGTCAAATGACCTGTTGTGGTAGATATCGGTATACAACAAGGATTACTCAGAATAAACAAAACAAAAATATTTTTATAACTGTAAATTAATTACTTAGAAAAATTCATGAAGTCAAATGTGCAAACGCAATAAAATTATACGTGCATTTTCAATGGAAAAGTTCAAAATGGGTCATTTGACCCGTTATGGTATGTTTAGTGTTAAATGTACTGTATCTCGTCCAAAATGATTTCTTTCTTTTTTTTTTCTTATTTATTTAAAATATATTTATAAGCATTACTGACAATCTCGTTGATATTTCTTGGAATGTTTCGCATATGGACAATATAACCAGAGCTAGGTTTACAGTTGTGGACTGGCTAAACAGATATCCCGTAGCGGGGGACTACTGGTATTGTACCATTTCGCTCCGCCAGTGTAAACTGAAGGGCCGAGTTACGATGCCGACCTCCTTGTAGGCTAAAAGAGTCTTCTGTTTTGTGTGAAGTGTGAGGCGCCGCCAGGGTATTATTTTTGGCCCCGCGATCAAACCCGAACTGTTTACATCGGCATTCCTCGGGCCACGCGCTTCGGTCAACTCCCCGTAGATCACAAACCTTTGACAAACCTTTGACGAAGGCTTGCCAATTACTTGTCATAAAGCTAACATTCCCTCAATAGCAGGGTAAATAATGCCGCTGGAAATATGGCGCCCGAAAATAGCATCTTTTGTAGTCGTGTTCCCTTCTGAGCTACACAGCTGTTTCTCCGACTCTTTTGAACTGACCTATACTTCAGGTTGAAATAATTATACTCCGCAATAACGTATGGGAACAAAGTGTGTTTGTAATATGTTCTTTAAAAATAAACAATGATTCATAACATGACTTTTATATTTATATACTCGTAGGCGCGTGCGAAAAATTCGCATTGTTATCAAATGCCAGATTAATAATAAAATAAAATAATACAACGTATCAAAAGATAAAGAAATCAAATATTACTTTATCGATAAATATAATTTCTTCATTGTGTATGGAATTTAGTAATCTTTTATATAATCACGTGCATAACCAATGAAAAAGTATGTAATTTTTTAGTTATTCGCAAATAAAGTTTGTTTTCTTTTATAACTTGTTTGCCTGAATTTTCGTGGTGATTGGACTATTTTGTCCGCCTGAAGGAGAAGGAAGCCTTCGAAATTGGTGGCTCAATCTTGAGATTTGGAGAAAAATTGACGATGATATGGCTTGCCGATCAAAAACACCATCGATAAATAATATAAACTCCTCCTCTCTCATTCATAGAGACCTCAAGTCGACGAAATGAGGCATGTATTCAATGACAGTACTAAAATTAATGTAAGGTTGTGTGGACGCGAACCCTATGCCTTGCGTTATCTCGAAAATAGTACGTTTTTGGGCTTAAAAATGCAGGATCCGATAGTTCCGGAAGAACTATCCGGGTCTTGCTGTACGCATCAAAATCTTCTAGATCCAATTTGTCCCATATCGATCGATAGATCTACCACTGTTCAGGTATTGAAGCCTAGCAAATTGTTTGTATCGACTTTATTTATTTTAGAAAGAAAAACAAAAGTGGAGAATACGATTCGCTAACCTCCCGTGAAATTTTGAATCCAACGGTACCGACAGGAGCTTATATTTGGTACAAAACCGATTTCGATCCTTACTGTAATTATATATATACAGATACGGATACGGATTGGGGACTGGTATGTTCTATTCATGTGCAGCCACACTACCATACCTACATAAAGAGGAAGAAAAGTAAACCTTATTATGGGAAATTGAGTCCATTAACATTTATAAAAATCAACGCGTGTAGACATAAAATAAAGCACAAGCAGAAGAACTGAAATATCAGATAAATTCTTACATACATTCGGAAGATTGATTGCAGAAGACAAAAAAAATAATTGGTATTTAAATGAAGCTAACAATGAGGTTTTCGCATACAGAAATTCCAGAACAACGTAGAACGTACGATAAAGAATTTTTTATAGGAAGAAGTCTTGTGATAAAGAATATAAATACACCTAAATGTTTGTATCGATTTTATATATCAATATATTAAGTAGATAACCAGATCCGTTATCAGGTTTTAGTGTTAACTGTCTGAGGTCACACGACTTTCCTATCTATTTCAGAAAAGTATTCATATCTTTACCTATGTCCATCAGGAAACTAAAAAAATTAATAGATTTATTTTCCTGAAAATCGTTCTTAGAAAAGATTCGAGTACGATTTATTTGATAAACTAAAGCAAGTTATATCAGTGTAAACATTTCAATACCTTGTAATATTGCAGATCAAAAATTTTTTCCATAGCCTAATTTTGTCAAACAATTATTTCTGTTATAAGTAGAGGAAATAGTGAAGGTTGTGTGATGCGGGCAACAGATTTTCTCACTTTCACATAGTTATCATTTTTCTCTCATTCATCCCTTTCTGACGCCAGGATATGAACCCGTAATCTTACATTGGAAATTTAATAGCTGTAACTTCGTTAATAGTTGTCCAAAATAAAAGATTTATATATATATATATATATATATATATATATATATATATATATATATATTATATTTGACGGGGGCTCTGAAACGTATAGATCTATCGAAAACCACAAATCGGAAATTTGACCTGATCGCAATACTTTCCTTATTACCTCAGTATAGGTAGAAAAGTAAAAAATTGATATGATATAATACAAAACTTTCATTTACACCCCTACTTTCATTAGGGACATTTTTTTATTTCTTTTATTTGAAGGTAATAAACCGTGTGGTATGTATGTTACTTTAATTATAAATCTAAATCTAAAATGACTAGAAGAAATTATGAAAGTTCTGTACAGTGTACGTTTTTTGTTTATCAATTGCAAAAAAATATAGTTGTCCATATATTTTCTGAAGCAAAAAGGTTTTTTTTTTTTCTCAATCGATAATATGAAATTAGACATAATTATTTTTAAGTTACTCTTAAATATTAAATATTAATTTTATCTAAAACCTTCAACTTTTCAAAGGTGTATCATACGTTACTTTTCTTATTCCCAACCTCTTATTTTTAAATTGATAAAATATTTGTACTTTTTTTCTCATTTAGTTAATTATAAAATAAGTCTATAGCTGAATAAAATTTTTAAAAAATGAATGAACTTCATTTATTCACAAAAAAAAAAAAAAAAAATCTTTATTTTCATTGTACATCAATATCACAAGTTTAATCAAAATCGTTAGAGCAGTTATAGAGAAAATCAAAAAAAAAAATTCTTAATCTACAGTGTCTTTAATTTCGATTATTGAAAATAGTTCGAGTTCTCTCATTGTCAGTTGTAATGCGAAATGGAATAAATATGATCTAAAAAAGAGTTTAATCATTAAATTAAGAAGAAAATAAGAAAAATATTTTTCAGGTTAAAAGAAAATTACGCATATGAGAATACTAGATGAATAATAAAGCGTTGAAAAGCTAGAAATTATAGAAAAATTAATATCTATTAGTAGATGTATAAACGTAACCTAAACGAGGATAACTAAAAACAAATGAATTTTATTTGAAGTCATTTCTTCTCTTATTATTATTAAATAGGAAATAAATGTTTTCAAGGATAATTAATCGAGTTTCCACGGAAAAAGTTATTTTCAGCTTGACTAAACAAAAATATTTAGTGCACTTAATCGTCATACCTTTTATTAATTTTCATATGTTTATTTTTATTATTAAAGTAGT